GTCAAGTGTTTAATGTCAGAGAAGTTGTTGCGGAAACCACAATAGTTCCATTGAATTATTTTATAATCCATTACCTCATAGGTGTTTGAGGCAGCATTCTTTGTCAAGGAGAAGAGTGCGCAGTTAGTAGGCTCCTGACGATGAGGTGTGCGGGGCGGTTTTTGGGCACTGTTGCTGCGAACTTTCGATTTGTCTCTCTGAAGGTCTGACGTGTGCATTTATGATGGTTTTTTTCAGCTCAGATGAGGAGAATTTGGAGGAAGGAGGAGGAATAACCATCTTGAGGCAGGCGATGGACTGGCGCATCTTGGAGATCACACGCGCTGTCAGTTCTCTGCTGAAGCGACGGATGAAATTCTATCACCGTCAGTGAGTACTGTCGTTTATATATTTTTTTGTAACAGGCTTGTATCTGGGCGATGGGAATTTTGAATTTTTTTCTTTTTTTTCGAATAGGGCGGGAGGGGAGGACGGTTGGACGTCTGTTGCTAGAAACATACACGTCTGATGGCGGTGCTTTTGTGTGCAATTGATCGATTAACTGACGGTAATAAATGGGAGAAATTGGAAAGTGTTTCATCTCTTTGATGCATTGGTTTTTAAAGCTGGCAATTGGAAATTAGGGGCTGTCTCTCTCTTTAGCTAGGCTCGCATGTTGCAGAAACAATGGGAAAATATTTGCGATGTCTGAACGGTTTGAGAAAGCAAATGACCGTTTCAACTGTCAGATATTTAGAAAGGGGCCCTCCGGCTCACATACTGCACAAAGAATTTCCACATATTTTCTAAAATCCTCTGGGTTTCATCGAGCTTTTTCTTTAGGTTGCGATTGGAGTCGACAACCATGCAGTAGGCCTGTTTAAGAGTACTCAGCACTCTTCAATTTAATAGATGATTTTCCTTTTGGAGGTGAGATTGGAGGAGAGAAAGTCACCTCCATATTATTCTCTTCATCAGAGATATCAGAGAACTCACTCATAGATTGAGCCACTGATTTTTTAGATTTAGAGAGAGCTGCTTTTACTCTCTGTTTGTTTAGTAGGTTCTTACTAGCCTTTTTCGAACCCAGGTTTCTCGTTATTACCCGTTTTAGGTAGGGGTGTTTTTGGTTTTATACTCTCCTTTTCTGGTGTTTCTTTTGATGGAATCAGTAAACATTTCACATGTCGAGTGAGAGAATCCTTTGGGGAAACAGAAATATCTGTTTGAACTCCACATGTCTTTGTGGATTTCAAAGCAGCATCAAATGTCTTTTGTTTCAGTGGTGCATTTGAAGTGATCATGCGACATGCCTCTGGGTAAGGTAAGTTGTTGACTGTTTTTACACGCTGGATTTCTTTTTTCTCTCTGCCATGCAGGGCATTTCCAGGAGTAGGCAGAATGTGCATCATTGCAATTCACACAGCATGGAGTATTGATACACTCAGTACTCTGGTGACCTTCAATTCCACACTATGCACATACACTCTATCCTCAGCAGGATGTTTGAGAATGTCCAAACCGCTAGCATTTGAAGCAGTGCAGTGGATTTGGAATGTACAGTCAAACTGGACATCACAGATATCCTGCTGTAATGAAAGATGGCAATGTCGGCTTGTTGAAAGTAAAAATTAGATAGTATCAACTTGCCATCTTGACAAATGGAGATGCGTTGGACAGCAGCGACACCTTGATCTGAAAGACCAATCTGAATATCTGATTCATCTTCAGACACCAGATCAATCTCAGACATCACACCATGTGACGAGTTCAAACTTCCATGTGGTGTGACGGTGACTTCAATGTTTCCCAGGTTCTTTGCAGCTAAAAGTTTTGCCAACTGTTGAGGTGAGGCAGTTTCTACCATTAGGTCCCAGACCTCAATTTCTGTTTTTTTTTTTTTTTTTTCAGATGCCCAATGGTTGATTCAAATAACTTCTGAATCAAAAAAGGAGAGCATTTTGACAGAGGTTTTTCTCCAGTAGCATGTACTATCAAGTAAAATGGCTGACTGGCAGTGTTTTCATTGTTTTCAAGTTTTAGAATCCATGATTGAAATAATATTTAGGCTCCTAGTAACCCCACCCACCATGGGGCCCAACAAGGGGATGCCGTCACATGGGAGACTCCCATAGACTGTCACACCTGGGTTTCCCAGGAGCTACCCTCACAATGCAGTCAAGAAGAGCACATCTTGTCTGACGTGTCCGTCCAGTCTGCATCGATCAGTTTACTCCAGGCTGAGATCAAGAATGACTCAATGACCAGCCGATTGACTCAAACGGAGCATGATTTGAGCCTCCCATTTATCCAAAGCAGGGGCCAAAGCCCCTGCTTTGGATAAACGGGATCATGTTCCGTTTCAAATCATGTTCCGTTTGTCAAATCATGTTGGGGACGTTATGTTGCCCCTCAACTACCAGGATCCCCCTTTCCAGCATACAGGACACCATGCACAGCAAACACATGGGTGGGCGTTCAGATCCCAGGGATAGTAAAGGATTACTAAACCAACTCTGGGATGTCCCCTTACCATGGACAGGAACCCTCATTGAGGAGTGTGATCGAAATGACTTTAAAAGTTTTGATGAAGGTGATATTTCTGTGGGTTTGTGTGAGCTATCTGAATATTTGCAAATGCAGTTTAGTAGAAAGGTTTTCATCGTCATTGATGAGTTTGATTCGATCATTAACAGAGCAATAACCAGAAGGCTTTAGTAGATGCGTTTTAGTAGGGTGCGGCATGAGAATGCACTATAAAAAAGGAATTTTCGAGATTCACCTGCGGGAAGGAGAGGGGGAGCATTAAGGCTTAACCGGAAGAATGGCTTCTACTTTACTATTTTAGATGGTGGAGGAGGATCAGAAGGACATTGCTGAGTTAACTACCAGTTTGCTGGGAAGCATTTTGAAAGATAATGTAGCTGTGGGTGATGCCTTTGTTACAGGAATTTTAGATATGTCAGGCATAGGGATTAGTGCTCAACTAAGCGAGTTAGAGATACACAAGTTTTCGGAGATGAGTGAGTTAGATGATTATTACGGCTTCACTAATGATGAGGTTATGGTTCTGAATGAGCATTTTAAGGTTAAAGAGGATGTTGCAGAGAAGGTACACTTGGTTATTGTGGAACAGATGGGAAGTGCTCGTGTTCCATTGACAATTGTGAAGTTTTTGAAATCAGGTAAACTAAAGAGGTATTGGATAGATAGGACTTATGTTGAAGCTGTTAAGAAAGCACTAGAATTAAAACCAGTCAAAGACACGTTCATAGTAATATTGCTAAATGGAGACCCATTGAAATGCAAGATACTTGAAGAAATTTCATGGGATCATATTGTACACCTGCAGAATCTGCATCATGATCCAAATTTTATAACAAATATTAGTACAGACATGGATGAATATTCCAAGGACAAGGTGGAACTTGTTATCAATTTCTTATTCAGCCTTGGCTATTTCATGTACTTACCTGATCTCAAGAATGTCTCTGATGAGAGTGTGAAAATATCTCTGATGGTACCAAACAATGAAGTAAGACAATCATTCAAAGCACTGCTGGAAAAGCATTTTAAGATGGAGCGTGGTCTGGATCTAGAAAACCTTGAGCGATGTGCAGTGTTACTGAAAAGCTTTTTCCATCTGTCTTGGAGGGATGGCAGTGAGTCATGCAGTGGCCCCTCTTTCATTGCAGAGTTTAAAAGCAAGTTACTCCAACTTGCAAAAGAATTGACCACCCTGCTTAAGATGTCCAAGATAACTACCTACAATGAGTCTACAATTGAGGTTCTTGTGTCATGTGTAGCAGTTCAGGCTAACTTCATCTGGGGCACTCAAAACTATACTGTTGACAGAAAGATAAATGATGTAATGTTCTACGAAGGTGGTAGGGGAGCTGTAGCACAATTGAAATATAAGTGTACTGCACAAGAGGCTCTGGTAAATCTTTTTAAGAAAGAACACTATGCTGTTTATGACAACAAAAGGAAACTTGGGTATTTTCTACCTTCTTATGTCTACCTGTCGTACTTTCCTAAGTCTCTGCTTTTCCTCTTTCTCTTAGGCTCAAGATAGGTATAAGATTAGTTGTTAAGTTGGTCGGATTCATACTGTATGATACACACATGTTGTTCACATGCTTATGGGAGGACAATAGACTACCCTTTTGTTTAATAGTAATATAAAATCTGTAAAGTTGGGATCTGTACTAAAAGAACTGGTTTTCTTTTAGTTGATAGGTAAAAATGTGGAAGGTGCCTTCTCAATAATATGCTTTTGGATGTCTTCCTCCTTTGCGAACTTGGTGCCTCAGAGATCTCCACTCGCACTCACTGTCCTTATGATCTTTCTTCAGTTTAGTAAGGAACTAAACTGAACTTGACCTCTATGATTTTCCCCAGCTTTGCAGTCCCCTTTGTGACTATTCCCAAAGTTGGAGCACTGCGTTGTCCTGCCATCCGCTTTGAGATCTTGACCAAGAATGACCCTTCCTCTTGCCATTTAGCCTTAGGTCTTTTCCTTTCTTTTGTTTCCCCCGAAAATACGGGGAAGCGATAGTTCCCTTACCCTTTTGTTCTATCAAGAGTTCTGAGAAGGGATAATCCCTCTTTAAGGCAAGAGCTTCTAGAAGGAAATTATGACAAAAGGGAAGAATCGAATATAATGAAAAAAATATATATAACTAAAATACATATAACCCTATGGCCAATGGCCACCCTATAATCTACTTGTGGAAAAATCTCCAGAAAATTAAATAAAAGTTTACTGATGTTATTATTTGTCTCCAAGCTTCACTCCCCCGGAATATTTTCTACAGATACCCATGGCTTTCACCATCTTAGTCATTGCATATTCATTATTCTGTTTATAGATGTTTTCAGCTAAAAAATCCATTTGCTTTGCATTTTGGATTTATTTTATATTTCATGATTATAATTACATTTTACGTTCTTCAAAATGTCTTTCATTTATAAAGATCGAGTATTTTTCACAATTTATGCAATTACTTTTGAAAGGATACATTTTAAGCAAAATTTCCTCAGAGCCTGCTGAATGAAATCAAAATGTTCATCTTTATAGTCTAATTCCTTCTCTAGCATTGACATGCAATCTGTCTGCAAATGAAAATATTTTAAAATTTTAACTATTACAAAAATGTTTAACAAGTAAGATATAAATTTTTATTACAGTGATATCAAATTAGAAAAATTTTAAATCGAAATCTTAATAATGTAAGGAAAAGATCAATTTTTTCAATAGTTTTGCTAGATTATAACCTTAAATAACCTTATACTATATTTGTATTCAAATATGACACAGTTTAATTAAAAACAAAAATTAGATAAATTGATTATTTTTATTAATTAATAAATTTAATGGTCTTAAAGAATATTTGAATTAATTTGGTAGTTTGTTTCATTTTAATTAAAAAAACAAGAAGAAAAAATTGGGTTGTGGATTGAATGTTTATATTTGAATTAATTGTAAAGATTTATTGCACATTCTAATTTAATTAGAATGTACAATAATTTACAAAAAACTTCATTGGCAAAAAAGTTGTACACAGTGTACACTACATTATCAAAAGTATAATCTTATAGAAAAACCAAATTATAAGTTTTATTAATAAAAGTATTTAGAAATTTGCTTGTCTGAAATATATCTGTTAAATCTAAGGTATTAATAGTGGTTCTATTCTTTACTGTTATTACAATCTCCACTGTTCTTAGATGATTTTCTGAGATATACAAGGTGTGACAATTTAATTCCCGGAATGGCCACATAGTGTCACCCATGACAAAATTATATCAAAATGACATGCACATTCATGTTCAAACATGTTTGAACTAACATGTGCATAAACTGTCAATAAACTCTTGTTGAACTATTGTCCAACAAGAGTTTATTGAACAGGAACAAATAGTCAATCAACAATGCTATTTAGAAGTACTGCAGAGATTACAAGATTCTGTTTGAAGAAAAAGATCCAAACTGTGGCCTGACAAGTGGATCACTCATCATGCCAAATCACAGTTCATAAACTGGCCAAAAAAGTAATTACCCAATTAGATCCTTCCTATTCTATTCCTAATGACTTAGCTCCTTGTGATTTCTGGCTCTTTCCAAAATTAAAAGCTGTGCTGAAAGGTCAAAAATTTTCTAATATAACTGATATCCAACAGAATGTGAGACTGCTGTATTAAGGAAAATGAGTTCTGGGTCTGCTTTCAGAAATGAGAATGCCATTTAAGTCAGTATATAGATGCAAGAGGAGAGTATTTTGAAGGTGACAGTAGCCAGTTCTGCATGTACACTTTTTAAAGGTGCATTCTGGAAATTAAATTGTCACACCTTGTATTTTACAATTAATTTATGAACAATTAAAACTGGTTTAGAACAGCAAAATGTTATAATTTGTAATCAATTTTTCTTGAATTTTTTTGCTATAACAACAACAGTTTCTTGTCAAACAACTCCATTTAATAGTTTAAAATTGAATAACTCACTAGCAATTCAAATTAAGGAATTCAGAAAAGTTTAAATGACAAGAATTCTTCGGAGAACTAATGAATCTATATCAATATGACCTTGCCTTTGAAGTAATTCTACGAATAGTCGAGTTTTCTATCCAAGAATTTCATTTCCAACTCGTGGAATTACGTGAAGCCATTGATATTTTGGAGCACAACCAATTAAGCACGTATTTCATTTTGTGTAACATTATGTTACGTATCTTCCGGGACATCCAACTCCAACTGCCGGAAGGTTACATAACGACTGAACCTATAACCAAGATACATTATTTAAATATTACCAATGGATTACTACCATTGCAGTGGCTTTACCTAATAAGTTGAGAATTTTTGCTAAGATAACATTAATCATTCCTCAGGGATATTTTGATGTGTACGAGATTATAAAATTTCTGACTGATCTCCCTGTATTAACGACCTTTGTCCAATTTCAACCTGAATATCCAATAATCGCCTTATCTATGGATAGACAAACATATATATTACTACAACAATATGAAATGTCTATGTGCAAAGTAGACCATTTCCCTATTTGTTCATTAAACGTTCCTATTCAACGATTTCCTCAACAAAGTTGTGAATATGCCTTATTTATTGGAAATGAAAACAAAGTCAAGGACCTCTGTCCTCGCCAAATAGTTACCAAATATACACCTATCTTTAAGAAGATTGACCTACACTGATCATGGATTTATTCCCCACCACATTTTCTCACTTTAATTATTAGATGTCCCACAAGACATCCAAATTCTTCTTCTATCTCTCCTACACATAAATTAAATCATACTGGGATAATTAATCTCCCGAACGCATGTACTGGTTATCCTTACCTCACCTTACAAGGAATACCACAATTGACGTCCAATTATGATATTAAATTAGCAGATCGCTCTTTATCAAATGTCCAATATGACCTAAATGACCTATTACACCCGGCGACGACTCCATCATCCAGAACTTATCCCTCTTCATGGATAATAATACTTAGTAGTTGTCTTGGTACATTTTTAATTGGACTCTGCGTCCTTTATATTGTCCGATACTACCTACGACACAGAAAACCTTGTTCAACTAATCAACAACACCCACCGGAAGATACCCAGGAAGAGCCCACTCTCAACGAAAGGGAAAAGACAACCACTACATGTCCGGGCCCTTCCCAAAAAGTAACAACCTGAGGCAATTCCATTCAACGACCCCAACCATCTATTGTTCTAACCTATTAACAGTCTCCTGACCAACTGTCTCATCTACCCTATTTTATATTGTTTATTGCATATTGTCCTTCCCAAGATTTTTTTCGAAACATCGCATAATGGAAAATTCGTTATAACAGAATATAATCGATGTTAGATTCATTTTAAATTTTATCTTTATTCCGTAAATTTTTCTATACCCTATTATATCATATTATATCCTAATATCGAGATTTTAAATTACTGAGAGAGAGAGTAACCCTACCCATTATGTAAATCTACTTACCTCTACATCCCAGGGATATTCGTTACTCCATAAATTGTTACTAATACTATTTTATCTAACGCGTGCCAAGATAAAATTATATCTACTCCTACTATCCACTTGTAAAGAAAATATTGTTACCGGAAAGTGAGAGAGATGAGAAAAACTTTTGAGAAGATAAATTCCTAAATTTTTGTAATCCTACCTCTAACCGAGAAAAACCCCATCCACCAACTCACTGAAGCTAAAATTGCACTATCTAAGTACAATTTTAAAGAAAACGAAGAGTGATGTGAGATTCAAAATTTAGTTAATTTTATAAAATAAATTTATTCCTTACCTATGAAATCGAAATATAGAGGTTGTGGGAATTTTATGTCTTAATATAAATATTCTCACGAAGAATCTGTGCATAGTTTACACTTACAGGCAAAATTCGTCATATTGTTGCCATTCTATCACCACCTTTAACCCCACACCTGCTAAAACAATTGATCACCTGACTAATTTTCCCACCACAAAAAGTATAAAAGCCATCCTTCTTCCCCTCTCAGGAGGAATCGCTGATCGCGAGTCAAAAGGTCAAAGTCGGACATTGTCTTCCCATCGCAGACTTACATCACCGTAGAACCTTGTGCCACACCCCAGAATCCATTTGGACGATATTACGAAAGAATATCCCACTGATATATGCAAAGAGGTACGAACGCATATTTGTAAACTCTCTCTCTCCGCCATCCGCTCAGTAGCAGGATAGGCTGTTATAACGGAACTTTGAGTAATTGGGTTTGTAAATTTTTTCCATAGATGCTTGTAATAAACTCGTTTTGTTTTTAAATGGTGTCTTTACTCGACTTTGCCAACATCTTATCGTCGACCGCTGACTCTCCTCCACTCGCGTAACGTGTAACAGAATGTAAACGCCATCCTTGACAAGAAAGTAGGTCACTGACCTGTTTCCGGAAAGGAGAGGAATTCCCACCCCTCCCAGCAGCTCACATAGTCAAGGGCAGATCTAGGTTTTTTGGGGCCTAGGACTTATTGAAGTCCAATGAGGACCCATTTTTTGTTAATACAAACAATACAGTAGACCCCCTATAACGCGGGTTCTTATAATGCGGATTCCTATAACGCCGCAAAAAAATTGCGACAGTATTCGTAGAAAGACACTAAAAGGGATGCGAAAAACGTCATCGCCGACTCGTGTCGTGACAGGATTGGTTGAATCTGGACCAATAGTAGATGAGCAGCCAAACTACTTACACACTACGGGTAAGTTGAGTTTACTATTGTCTGTACAGTATGTAAATTAGGTACCGTAAGTCTAATACAGCATTGTAATTTTATACATTTCTTGTGAAAGAAACATTTCTTATTCAATGGCCATAAAAATTATTTCTATTAATGATGTCTCCAAAGTTCAACGAATTTTTCACAGAAAAATAACTTATCAGAAATCGCAGCCGCCGTTTGGTGCACTGCTCCGTGACGAAAACAAGCTTAAGCAATGGCGACGTCAAATGGTGCACACTCGGTAAGTAATCCTACAATTTTTTGTTTATAGCATAGTTTATACGGATTATTCCCAAAAAATTATACGTGTTTTGGAAATGT